AGGGATGTCATTCCCCAGTGACCCTCGCTGAGAGAGCCCCACAAACACACTCCAGAGCTAAAACCAAAGCACCTTCCCAACGTCCTGGAAAGCAGAGCAGGACCAGGCTGGCCCTGGAGCCATCCCAGGCACTGCTCCAGGGACAGGGACACGAGTGGCCAGGACTGTGCAGAGGTTACAGCTCGTCAACGCTCTCAGTAATTAAGGTGACGAGTTGATCCCTAAGCTGGGGCTGGGCCAGCGCTGGGGCCAAGGCAAAGCCCCCTGAGCCCACCTCGAGGGCTGGGGACCCCGGGCAGGGGGTGGCACACGGGGCTGGCTGTGCCCACCCTCCCCGGCCCCACCCACAGCCCCCATCGCTGCCTAAAGCTCCTCAGCACGGCAATTCCCGGGAGCGGAGCCGGCTGTCCTGCCCCCTGCCCTGCTCCCTCTGTCCCCAGCGCTCCCCTGGTGCCACTCAGCTCCCAGCACCCAAGGTCCTGCATGGAGGAGGAAGAAGAGGAGGAGGAAGCAGCAATTCCCCCAGCCTGTGTGGGGTCTGCAGGGTGGGGAGCAGCCAGTTCTCCGAACAGCCCAGGAAACAGCCCACTCCTGGATCCTCGGTCTGATCAGGGGTTGATCTCACCCCACCACGGGCACAGCTCCAGCCTGGCTGTGCCCTGTCCTCTCCCAAGGTGGTCTGTGTCCAGCTTCAAGGGGACGAGGCAGGAAATGGGCGTTAGGCAGGACCAGGGATGGGCAGGGTGAGCTCGTGGGCTTCCCAGCCTTGGGAATCACAGCCCAAACCAACCCCGTCCGTGACGCTACAGGAAAACCCACTGCCAGCACGGGAGTCCCACCAGGAGAGGCAGCCCCTGCCCTACAGCCTCCCACAGAGGCACACAAAGGGTTACAGGGACCAATCCCAGCGGGATCCATCCCAGCCTCCCCAAGCCCGGGGCCGAGGGATCACAGACACTCCGGGAGATCAAAGGGAAGCGCTGAGTCCCGGGAGACTCGTTACACTTTGAAACGCTCCAGCAACGCCAGGTCCCTGTGCCGAGGCTGCAGCCCTGTCCCTCTGTCCCTCTGTGCTCCCCCGGGATGGGGACAGGGAGATGCTCATCCCAGGGAGCTCCCAGGCTCGGTGCCAGCGGAGCTGGAGTCGCTCATCCGGTCTCTGCAGTGCAAACAGGGAATAAACTCTGCTCCCTGGCAGGGCCCGGGATCCGGCAGTGGGGCTGTGGCAGCAACTGCAGCAGGGTCCCCAAATCCATCCCCCATCCCATTCCTGTGGCAGTGACTGGGATGTGCCAGAGCTGTGCCAAGTCCTCGCTCCCCCGGGAAGAAGCCGAGTCTTGGTCCAACAATAACGGATGATTTAAAAGCCTCAGGAAAGGGAGAGGAGAGGCCTTGATGCCATCCAGGTGGGGGAGAGCAGCCTCCTCCACTCCCTCAGGCCCATGGTTGCATCCCAATCCCATCCTGGCACTGAACAAGCCCGTGGGCTCTGCTGCCTCAACATCCTCAGCAAACACCAACAACCGCCTGTGTCACATCCAGCAACTACAATTCCCCAAACTGGGAAGGGGAAAAGCTCATGTGGGGAGGAATGAGCACCCTCACAGCTGACCCCACACCCACCAAGGGCGCTGGAGACCCCAGCACAGCCACACTCACCTCTCACCCCCGTGGGTACCCAGTGATGGGGGGGAGCTGCCAGCAGAGTGTGGGATTCCCAGGAGCAATAGCAAAGGCAATACTGGGCTTAACAAAGTGCCCTTGGATCCAGCGGATTTGCCAGAGGTATCAGCTGAGTGTATCCTGTCCCCTCCACAGCAGCTTCCTCGGGAACACCGAAGCTGGATCTCTATTCCAGAGGGGAACTGCTGCTGCCGGGAACACCCCTTACCCAGAAATAGGGGTGCCCTCAAACCAGACCCTCAGGAGGAGGGGGACGAGCTCTGGGTTATTATAGAGCGCAGGGCCAGGCCCTGGGACTTCTTCCCCTCTCTTTAAGAGGAGGAGGAGGCAGCCTTCCTCCCCACCACGCTCTCTGGGGCTGGGGAGGTTGTGTGGAAAAAGCATCTTCTGGCTGCAGGAGGATCCTTCCTGTAGAGCATCACCCCAAAAGCAGTGCCCTGGTCCCCCAAAAATGCTCCAGCACACGGCTCAGGGCAGGGCAGGGTGCAGGCAGGGCTGGGTGCAGGCAGGGTGCAGGCAGGGCAGGGTGGCTCCCATGGAGGGTCTCCCAGCCGGAGCGTGTCGGCGGGGAGAAACAATTTTGGAAGTGCCACGAGGAAGCACAGAGCCTTTTCCTTCGGCCACATGGAACCCCCTCCTGTTCTCCGGGAAAACCAGGCGCTGCCTGCGCAGGCAGGGCTGGATCTGCCCCCACCACCCCGCCAGGGGCTGGGGATGGAGAGGGGAGGGGGAGGCAGGATGGGCAAAACCCCTCCAGCTCCTCCTGCCCCCGAGCAGCAGGAGGGGGTTTCCTCCCTCTCCCAGGGCACGGCGCGTTTTTAAGGCGTGTTTCCCTACGACCTTCAAACAGCAGCTGCCTGCAGCCACCCCCCCACGGCCCCCCACCCTGCCTGGCCCCGCCCGGGGGGTCGCACGGGAGGGGACATCCCCCGAGGGCTGCGATGGGGTCTGGGGGGGCTCTGCGGGCAGGGAGGGGCTGGCAGGGGCGGGGGTGGGCAGCGGAGCCCCTCGGGAGCTGGGTGTCCCCCCCAGCAGGGTGTGGGTCCCGGAGCCCCCCAGAGCCGGGTGTCGGTCTCCATGACCCCCCTGCACGGCGGGTGCGGGTACCAGGGCGGGTGCCGCCCCCTCCTTCCACCCTCGTGTGCCGCTGCCAGACCCCGCACGGTGCCGGTCCCCCTCTGCACGGTGCCGGTCCCCCCACGCCCCCAGCCCGGTGCCCCCCGTCCGCTGCCGATGCCCGCTCGGTCCCGATGCCGCTCCCAGCTCCCCGGTGCCAGCCCGGGCACGATGCCGGTCCCGCTCCACACCCCCTTTTCGTGCCGGTACCGATGCACACACGATGCCGGTGCCGGTCCCCGCTCAGCCCCCGCCCGGTGCCGGGGCCGTTCCCCTCCCGGCTTCACTCCCGATGCCGATTCCCGTTGCCCCCCGTGCGGTGCCGGTCGCGCCCCCTCCCTCGCTGGGTGCCGATCCCACCTCACCCCGCTCCCGGTGCCGATGCCAAGCCCCCCTCGCCCTCCGCCCGGTGCCGGTGCCGATTCCCTCGTCCGGTGCCGGTGCCCCCTCGACCCCCTCTCGGTGCCGGTGCCAATCCCACCTCATCCCTCTCCCGGAGCCAGCGCCGATCCCCTCTGACCCTCTCCCGGTGCCGGTGCCGATCCCGCTCCCATCCCGCCCCCCTCCCGCTGCGATCCCCGCTGCCCCCTCGTCCCCCGCCCCATCGGTGCCGGTGTCGATCCCGCCGCACCCCCCTCCCGGTGCCGACGCCGATCCCCCTCCGACCCCCTCCTGGTGCCGATGCCCCCTCCCGGTGCCCCCTCGCCCCCCTCCCCGCCGGTCCCCCCGCACTCACCAGCGCGGTGCGGGCGCTGAGCAGCAGCAGCAGGAGCAGGAGCGGCACCGGGAGGCTCCGCAGCCCCCGGGGCGCCGGCGGCGGCACCTCCCCGGGCATCTTCCTGCCGCAAGGACGGTGGCGGCGGCGGCGGGAGGCGGCGGGAGGCGGCGGCGGGGGCGGGGAAGGGCCTTTGTTGCCGCCGCCCGCGGGAGGCGGGCGGTGGGTGCGGGCGGTGGGTGCGGGTCCGTCTCCGCCGCCGCCGCCGCGCCGCCCCCCGGCCCGGGGAGGGGAGGGGAGGACGGGGGGGCCGCCCCCCGTGTCACCTCCCGCCCGGTGTCACCGCCCCGACACGGCCGTGGCGCGGGGGGAGCGCGGGGAGAACGGGGGGAGCATCCTGGGGGGGCCGGGGGAGGAGCGGGGGGGGGTGTGCGAGGGGTCTGGGGGAGGTCGGGGGGGTCTGGGGTAGATGGAGGGGGTCTGAGGGGCACAGGGGGGGAATGGGGCGGACTGGGGGGACCCTGGGGGAAACGGCGGAGGAGCCGGGGGGGGCTTCCGGGAGGTGTGGGGTAGATCGGGGGGGGAGTCTGGGGGGTATGTGGGGGGTCTGAAGCAGATTGGGGGATCTGGGGTACATGGAGGAGAGCACGGGAGACATATGGAGGGGACCGGGACAGACTGGGGGGACCCCGGGGTAGATGGAGGGTGTGTCTGGGGGACATATGGAGGGGTCTTGGAGAAATGGGAGGGTCTGGGGCAGATTAGGGGGATACTGGGGTAAATGGGGGAGAGCATGGGGGATATATGGAGGGGACTGGGACAGACTGGGGGGACCCGGGGGTAGATGGAGGGGGGGTCCCAGTGGTATATAGAGGGGTGTGAGGCAGATTGGGGGGGACCTGGGACAGATAGAGGGGTCTGGGGCAGATTGGGGGGACCCTGGGGTATGTACGGGGAGGGATCTGGGGCAGATGAAGGGAGCAGGGGTAGTTGGGATGCACGGGGGGAAGTAAAGCAGGGCTCTGGGGCAAACTGGGGGGGATTCAGTGGTGGACAGGAGGGTCTGTGGGGGGACCCTGGGGTAAATGAGGGGGAGCCTGGGGTACATATGAGGGGAATCTGGGGCAGATTAGGGGGACCCAGGGGTAGGTGGGATACACTGGGGTGGGTCAAAGAGGGCTCTGGGGCAAACTGGGAGGGATCCAGGGGTAGATGGGAGTGCGTGAGGGGCAGCTGGGGGTACCCAGGAGTAGATGGGAGGAGGGTGAGGGCAGGTGGGGGGGACTGGGACAGATGGGGGACCCAGTGGTGAGACCTGGGGCAGATTAAGGGGACACAGGGGTAGATGGGGGGGAGCTGAGGAAACAGAGGGACTCAGGGGCAGCTGGGGGGGCCAGGGGGAGATGGGGGGGCTCAGAGGGATATGGGGGAGGTGGAATCAGGGGGCAGGGGCAGATGGGGGGATCCTGGGACAGATGAGGCACCTCAGGGTAAATGATGGAGAGGAACCAGGGGCAGGGGGGGATCTGCCACCAGTGTGGGACCCCTCTCACTTCTGTGGGGCCCTTGGTCACCCCTGGGTGGATTTTGGGGCTGGAGCCACCCCAGGGGTACAACCCAGCAGGAGGAAAACCTCCAGGCATTGTGGAACTCATCCCAGCAGCTCACCCAGCCCCAGCACTGTGCCTCAGTTCCCCCTTTCAAAAAACTCGGGATGACAGTGGGATCAGGGGACAGGGCTGTGTCCTGGTGTGACAGTGACTTCCAGGGAGCTCCTGGGTGACCCTGGGGTGACTTTGCTCTGAGTTTGGGGGTCTGGTCACCCCGATGGGCCCTGGCAGGGGTGGCTGTGGGTGAGCTGGGAACAGATGGATGGGATGGGAACCAGACGTTTCTCACACACGTGGAATTCCTCGTTTCCCTGTGAAAGGCCTAAAAAGAGTCTCATAACCCCCCTCGTCTGCCTCCAAAATACAGCCTGGGAGGGGGCCAAGGGGGGACAGGGGGAGTTACTGGGGTGAAGGAGGGCAAATCAGCCAAATCCAATAAAAAATGGAGCTGAACCCCAGACCAGGGGTAGGGGGGACGTGGCCCTCCCACCCACCTCCTTGCCTGAGCATCCTCACCCTGCCCCTCAGATCAGAAACTCAGAGCAACGCCCTCCACAGGGGTGGGAATCATCAAGGGGGGTCTGGGGGACCCTCACCTGAGTCACTTGACTCGGTTTTAATTGCTCTGTAATTAGCAGCATCCAAATTAATTAATTTATTTTTTTTAAAGTGTATAAATAACAGCAGCGAGAAGTGAAGGGGGGGAAGGGGACAAAACCCGGGGAAAGGAAGGGATATGTCCCCGGGGTAGGGGCTGTCCCTGGGACATCGTGGGGTCCCAGAGAAGGGGGGGCACCCCCGGGGCAGTCGGGGATCCTGAGCGGGGGGGGGTCTCAGGGCAGTGGCAGTCCCGTGGCAGGGGGGTCCTGGGCAGGGGAGTGGTCCCTTGGACACTGGGGGGGGCTTGGACAAGGGGGTCCTGGGGCAGGGGGGGTCTCTGGAGCAGAGGGGGGCCCTGGGGCAATTGGGGGTCCCGGCTTGGGAGGCAGTCCCGAAGCAGGAGGTGCACAGAGCAGGGGGGGTCCCTCGGGCAATGGGGGGGTCCTGGAGCGGGGGGATCCCTGGTGCAGGAGTGAATCCTGGGCTGGGAGGGTCCTGGAGCACTGGGAGTCCCGGGGGCAGTGGGAGGTCGCAGGGCAGGGGTGGGTCCCAGGGCAGGGGGGTCGTCCCTGGGGCAATGGGGGCGTCCGGGATAGAGGGGGGGTCCTGGGGAAGGAGGTGTCTCTGGGATATGGGGGGCACCCGGGCCGGATGGGGGGTTCCAGAGGCAGTGGGGACCCAGAGACAACGAGGGTCCCGATGCGGGGGGATTCCTGGAGCGGGGGGGATACGCGGGTCAGGGGGGGTGTCCCGAGCCCGCGGGGTTCCCCGGGGGGGGTTGGGCCCTTCGGGGGCTCCTCGGGGCCGGGGCGGTCCCCGGGTCTGGAGGGGGTGTCACAGGATGGGGGGGTCCCGGGGTAGTGGGGGGGCCGAGGTAGAGGGGTCCCGGGGCAGTGGGGTCCCAGGTCAAGGTCGTTGTCCCAAGGCAGGGGGTCCCCGGGGCCGGGGGGTCCCCGAGCGGGGCCGGCAGAGCCGGGGCGGGCGCGTTGCTGGGGCTGCACCGCCCCGCCGTGGCCGCGGCCACCCCTGCAGGGGCCGGGACGGGGGTCCCGCCGTTCTCCCCCCGGGGGTGGCCCCTGGAGACTGGCGGGGGGTTTGGAGGGGACCCACGGGAGGGACTGGGGGGGGTGGGTGGCGCGGGGGCGATGCCACCGGGTCCTCGTCCCCACCGGGTCCTCGTCCCCACCGAGCTCAGTTGGGAGGATGGGACAGGGGTGTGGCGATGGACGGGGGCTGACGGGGCGGATCCTGGTTTATATGGTGGATCCCGGTTCATATGGTGGATCCCGGTTTATATGGTGGATCCCGGGCGATGGGATGGATCCTGGGTGTTCTGGTGGATCCTGGTTTATGAGATGCATCCCAGCCGGTGTGGTGCAGCCCGGGTGTCACCATGGATCCCGGCTGAAGTGGTGGAAGCCACTGGACGGGATGGATCATTGGTGATGTGGTGGATCACTGGTGATGTGGTGGATCCTGGCTGCAGTGATGGATCATTGGTGATGTGGTGGATCCTGGCTGCAGTGATGGATCATTGGTGATGTGGTGGATCCTGGCTGCAGTGATGGATCACTGGTGATGTGGTGGATCCTGGCTGCAGTGGTGGATCCTGGGAGTTTTAATGGATCCTGGGAGTTTTAATGGATCCTGGGAGTTTTAATGGGTCCTGGCTCACACGATGGCCCCTGGCTGATGTGATGTGTCCTGGCTCAGGCGATGGATCCCTTCACATCCCTTCTCCAGCACTGTTACTGCCATGTCCAGCAGTAACCAAAGCATTGAGTGACCCAGCCATGTCCTTCCCAGGCCATGTCCCCTCTGTCACCCCATCAGGGCCATGGGGGTGCCCAGACTCCCCCCCAACCATGTCTATGCTCTGGCACTGCTGTCACACCCTCCCTCCCAGGCCAGGCATGGAGCAGGAGTCCAAAGTTCTGGATGAGAGCCGATCCCATTCCAACACCTCTGCAGGAGGGAAGGGTGCCCAGGGCTGTCCCCAAACCCCCAGTGGGTCTGGAGGGAGGAACATGGACCCTGGGCAGACTCACCTGGCTCTCCAGCCTCACACCCGAGGTAAACACTCGGTGCTAAATTAGACTTTAAAAAATAAATTTATAACCCTTGGTTTCATCATATTCCTCCCCAAATCCACAGCCAGGCTGCTGCTGGCTGAGCTCTGAGACCCCCAAAAGACAGGTGCCCATGAACTTCGTGGATCAGGGGTTGATGCTGGATCACAGTTTGGCTTCAAACCTTGGGCAGAAATGGTGTCAAAGTCCAAATCAGCTCTTGCTGAATTTAACCTCAGGGCTGGGAACAGACTAATCCCAGTGTGGGGTCACAGGGTGCTGGGCCCTGCTGAGGGTGGGACCGTGGGAAGGGTCAGCACGGTGCAAACACTCCAAAATCAAACATTTCCATGCACTGAGCCAAAATAAGTAATTCCTGGTGAAATGGGAAGCTTCTTCCCCTCCATCCATTGGCCACATGTCACCCTGTTTGTACAAGTGCTCAGACTCACTGGGATTCCCCAAACAGACCCTCTGGAAAAGGGTTTTTAAGTCCAGCAGCCACCCAAGTGCAGCACAGGGACAGGGATGGTCCTGGATGCTGAAAATGGGGGAAAACTGGTGGGAAAGAAAGGCCATTTTTGGGGGTTCTGTTCACACGGGATGAAATGCAGAGCTGGAGCTTCCCCAAGACAGGGAATTAGGGGAATAAAGGATATCAGGACATCACCTGGGCAGCAGGGGATGAACCATCAGCTCTGTGAACCACCAAGCCCAGCCTGCACAGAGGGCAGGAAGGGCGGGAGGACAAAAGCAGCAAAGAAACCACGAGGAGAAGATTGGAAGTCCCAGGGAAAGGCATTCCCTGCCCCTTCCTGCAAGAGCTGCTGGGCTTGGAAAGGCCAAGGAACACTCAGGGGATGTTCACTTCCAACTTGCTGCCAGAGGAGGAGGTTGAAGGTGCTACAAGTTTGCGTGGGCTCCTCCAAATCCCAGGCCCAGAGGGAGGGTTGGACACGGTGGGAA